AGAAGGAAAAAAAACCACTCCCCCCCCCCCCCCCCCCCCCCACAGAAGCATGCAGGAGAGAGGCGATCATTGTACCTTGAAGTCTGTGTTATTGATGCATTCAAAGACGAGCGCTGGAGTTCTGGACTGTGCAGCCACCACAGAGAGACATAGAGGGAAGGGAGACGACATCAGTCAAATAACAAGAATGACACCAGACAAGCACCCGACTGACCACGGATCAATGTAGTCTTGAACTGCACACAAACTCGACATAAAGCGGAACCGTCCAAAGACTGTCAATATAGTAATACTTTTTTAACCCCCTGTAGTCTACGGAAACCTGATCCCAAAAAAAAGGACCCTGCATGGTTTCCACCACTGCACTGGAAGACGCTCTAGCCAAAGTCAGCGCGCTTCCATGGCCTAAAAATATTCTTCCTTCAGTGTGGTTTCCAGCACGGCCTTAAGACCGAAAACAAAGGGAAGCGGTCCATTTGTAAAACTTCCTGATATTCGCTGGACGAAATAAATTATTCTTCTGTGTTAATTTAAGGTTGTAAACTACATGGCAGAGAAATACATTTTAATGTCATAAAAGATATTATTAACCGACCAACGGGCAACTTCCGGGTACAAAAAGTGAAGCCAATGCAAAGTGCCATGAACTTGCTTTCTTTCTAACAGCAGCAGGGGGCGACTCCTCCAGTTGGAAAAAGAAGTCTGGTTGTATAGAAGTCTATGAGAAAATGACTACTTCTCTCTTGATTTATTACCTCAGTAAAGATTGTAAACATGAGCTTATGGTCGCAATCTCTAGTTTCAAGTCTTCTTCAATACAGCATGATGTTCATTTCGTAAATTAGGTTCCCATTTAGAGTCAAATAGACCATAAAGCAGGGTATGTTTTGGGGCGTGGCTAGCTTGTGATTGACAGGTCGTTACCTCGCGGTCGCTACCACAGTTTTGATCAGCGTTCGGTTAAAGTAACAGACATTTTTAAGGAGTCTGCTGTTCATTTTTTGCAGTGAGTACATTACGAACAAGCCTGTTTTAGGCTAGCTAAAATTAGCAACCCAATCAATATCACAGTTAACGTGAATTACAGATGCGCCAATGCTCACTAAGCTAGCTGGAGCTAGCGTTAGCTGCTAACAGTACCTGGGCCTCACTCTTCCACCAGCTCCACCCTCTCGTCCAAAAATGGTCACTTGCGGTTACAAAATAGACAAGATGGCAATGACCAGAACGCCAAACTCATGGCTCCAAACTGTAGTCCAAAAAACCCGTCTATGGTATTGACCGGACGTGAAATCGTTTTTGTTAAAATGTAGCCACCATTTTCTGGTCTTCTTCATTTGTTGCAATGTCATGTCGTCACTATGTAGTCACTCCTGGCTACCTCACTCCCAGCAAAGAAGGAAACTGCCAGATTTTAAGAGGGGGACTTGATAACTTTGATACCCCGAGTTCGGGGATTGGAATCAGTATTGAAAAAGAAAAAGGTCACATCAGTGCCTCCCCGCTCGTCACATCCTCATAAGAGTAATTAAAGCCAACACAGCAATTGTAAGCTAATTGTCTCCCAACAGCCTCCCTGACTAATGTGCGTTCGAAACCGATGAAATGCGAGTTCACCTTTTACCGGCATTCTTAACATTTGGTCCGACACTCTCCATTCATTCCCTCGTGTTAAATGAGGACAGGCATTGCCATTAGCGAGCCTACCACTGGGTCTTTGACTGTGTCCACCAGTCGGATGATGTTGGTGCCCCCTCGCAAGTTCTCCAGGATCTTGATCTCTCGCTTGATCTTCTTCTTCTTGACCGGCTAAAAAATAAAATGGAAAAAAAGTGAACCCGCTGATCTCGCTTGCCACGTGCTGCATTCCAGTCTGTCAATCTTTTTACGAGGACATTTAGCATCCGGCGTTGACATTTAAATGATAAGTCGACACCGGCTTCGACTCTGGCCCTTATCCTCATCGCCGGGACGCCAGCTCCAAACCTTACCCATCTCACTTTTAAATGAAAGAGTTATGATCTCTGGTGTAACGGCTCAACAGGCGCTTATTAGGGCTGCAACTGACAAATTCTTGTCATCGTGGACTGGTGTAGAGCTGCAAGGATAAGCAGATGAATGAATCTGCAGCCACTTCCACGTCAACTCATCGTTCAGGTCACTTTTCAAGAATTAAATGCCAAACATTTGATGGCTACAGGTTCCAAAATGAGAATATACTGTTTTTCCTTGTATGGAATTGTAGTTAAGTGAATATATTTGGATTTTGGACCGTTGGTCTGACAAAAACCAGACATCCGATGACAACACTTTGGACAAATAAAGTCACTTTTCTGACTTCTTGTAGACCAAAATAATCCTAGGTTGATTATGTAGTCATTTATGTGGTCAATCCAAAACCCAAATATACTCAATTCACCATATCACACAAGAGTCTCGTTCTACTACAGTGACATTAATATTTGACTCCATTTCGATCGATAGGCCTCTGGGGACACGCATACGCTCAGAGTTCAGCTCAAGCAGATCCAACTGCTCACCTTCAGGATCTTGACCACCACCTTCTCGTTGTTGGTGATGTTGATGGCCTCAAACACCTCGCTGTACTTCCCTCTGCCCAGCTTACGGACCAGCTGGTAGTCCTCCTGGTTGCTATGGGGACGGACAGAGACAACAGCGAAACGAGCTCAGGGTGAGAAAGAGAGAGGGCCATTTCATCAGCATCTGCATGCAGTTAAGTCAGTCAGTCAGTCAGGGATGTGAGCTGTTGCTGAGTGTACTTGTTCCTGTGATGAAGCGTGGCCCCTGGGGAGGTTATTCAAATGAACAGACAGGGTAAGCCTGGGGGGGGGGGGGTCAGACGGTGCAGAGCAGCAGGCTAGTGGGCTGGGAGACTATCGCACCTTCACAGCTGTATCATAATAGACACCCATCTGCCACACATGCAAACAGGAGCCCATTAACTGCTGGGGTCGGACATCACACGCATGCAATGACAGCGGTAAACAGAAATGTCCTCACTTCCAGTTGGGTACGTGGGCCTCGTAGTCCCAGTACTCCCGGCTCTTCAGGGTGTTGACGTCTGCGTACACACGGGACTTGCTACCGGCCACCGGACCCGGCATGGCGAGACCAGTGGCTCGGGTGCTGTGTCACGGAGATGTGGAGGGGAAGACCGGTGACTGGACTTTTGCTGACTGTGTGGGTGTGGAGTGGAACACGGTCCGGGCCGGCTAGCTTCCCCCTCTGCAGCCGGACTGAGAGGGGAAAGAAAGGGGGAGAAAGGGACGGAGAGAACCGGAGATGTCCGTCGGGGTTAGCCGCAATCACTGCCCGCCGTGCAGCTGGTCGGATTGTCAGACGCAGCAGAGCCGATGTCGGTGGGGCTCTGAACGGGGTGATGGTGCGGATGAGGTCACACACGGAGGCTGGGAGGCATCGGGATGAGGTAGCGAGGAAACTGACCCCTAAAAGGCCACAGAGGAGGAGGCTGAAGGGGTGTCGGTGATTTAAATATCACGGGTTAAAATCTCTGAGGCAACTGTCGTTTCGGGCCCTAAATCCGAAACGTTAGTGGGGGGAAACCGGTGGGCTTCCTGCGCTGGCCGATGGACGATCGTGGAAGGGGTTGCCCTCGGTGGTCCGGTGTGATGTATCAATCAGCTGTTGATGAGACGGATCGGTAGCGGGGGGGGTCGGCCGGAGGGAGAGGGGATGGAGGGGGCGGGGGGATGTGGAGCAGCAGAGAGATCGATGTTGTTAGCTAACGTTAGCCAGCGATGCTACTTCAGCGCGGAGATGTCGCACCGACGGGGAGCGCTCGGCGCCGTGCACCACCATCGGCGGAGCCCGCGTCATGTGCGACCGGCTGTGCGGGGAAGCGGCGACTCGCTGGGGGGGAGGGGGCGCGGGTTGGCCCGGTACCAGACGCCGACGGAAGGGCCCGGGATTCTGTGGGGCTTCTTCTGCAGCCACAGACCTCCCCGGTGGTCGAGAGCGGATTGCGGTTGAAGAGGAGCGAGGGAGCCGCCCGGATGTGAAGCCGCTGGCTGCCGGGGCGAAGATGAGGAATGTGACGTTGGCCCGAGCCGGGACACAGCGCCCCCGAGCGGGGAGGATGTGAGGGGGGGCAAAGAATGAAGGCTTTATTTCTGTCAGAAGGTTTGACTATTTTATCTGTATTTTACTTTAACATTTACCGAAAACTTTGTACAAATTATGCGTCACTCCGAATTGAAAAAACATTGTATATTAGATTAGATACAAATGACATGGTCTTATTAATATGATGAATTACTTGGTCATCCTCCTTCATGAGAACGTTTAGTTCTGATAGTGCATTTTGTAACATTCTGTTTCAGACGCATGTTTTGGGAATTTTTAAATAACCATTATATAGACATTTTTAAAAAGCCAAAAAATATCAAGAACTCCCTTAAAAATCAGAGGAACCATGTGTGTATATATGTGTGTATATATACAGTATATATATATATAAATATATATATTATATAAATATATATACATTATATAAATATATATATATTATATAAATATATATATATTATATAAATATATATATATTATATAAATAAATTTATATATATATAAATAAATATATATATAAATAAATATATATATATATATATATCCTGCTTCAATAACCTCATAACTCGTGTGGGTTTATAAATGAAAAAAGGTTTTATTTGTTAGTGCCGTGTGTAATCAAATGCTACTTACATACAGATAATCTTAGCATGAATGTACACGTACTGTACGTCGCCACAAAGTTTTTTTCTTTTAGTTTTTTTCCCGAAAACATTCACAAAAACTACAGTACAATTTGAAAAGAAATACAAAATTAAAAAAAGCTATAGGAGGGAACAGTGCTGTGAGGAGGGGGGCACACCAGTTCCCAGGGACAGAACACAGGAACTAACACAGCAAGCATGCAGAGAGCGGGAGACACCAGGGTCTGATGGGTTTGTTCATTGGAACTGGGAAGGTCAGAGAGGATGGCACCTAAACTGCATCTCTCCCCACCCCCCCCGCCCCCGAAATCCCCAGTTAAGATACAGATGGGGTGGATTTATTGTATTTGTGCTTATACAGGAGATGTTCCTCTCCCTTCCCTGACTGCGCGCTGGACGTGGGATTTGAGCGTTTAAACCCAGAAGTGATCCAGATGCTCTGCAGGGTTGCTCACTGTCCGTTAATGTTGCACCTACCTGACCAGCACTCTGTAAACACACAGGACAACTGTATTATTCACTGTTTGTCGTCTTTTTTATCGTGTCAGCACTGACTAACGAGTCAAAAGTCCTCAAGCACTTGTAGTTCCTGGCAAACATGAACCCGCCTTCATTGATTCCTGATGTGTCTGTGTTGTATTATTCAACTTTTACACCACCACCACCCTACAGAAGTCTTTGTGTGGCGATCGTTTCTTCTGCGATTTGGCTTTAAAAACTATTGTGAAAGCTGAGCAACCCCCCCCCCCACAATCTTACCCCAAGGCCCTGGTCTCTCCAACGAGGAATACAGATTTTCATATAAATTTATAGGTTAATAATAAAAGAAATATACAAACAAATGTGAAAGCATAAAAAAAACAGACAGTACTTATTTAAGTTGTTCTCAGTCATATAATGCCAGATTAAGAAAATAAAAACTAAAATGTGATGGCTGATGAGACCGACCACCTGACCACGTCTGATGACGATGACAGAAAGCAGAAGAGGAGGAAGAGGCAGAGAGGCTTTAAAGCTGAAAACAAAAAGAAAAGAATAAAAAGGAACACTTCAGTCCCCTTGGCCTCCTGTTTGTATTCAGTACTGCACCCAAAGGAACCACCATCACAGCAGACTTGTTCTCCGGGCTTCTCGAGCGCAACTACAATCTCATAACATTCAAAAGGGAGAGGAAGGTGTCATTCACTCTGGTAGAAAAACCCGCCGTGACGGGCGCAGCGTCAGGCTCAACGCAACAAGAAACAGGAGAAACGGTATTAATATTTCCTTTTAAAAATGTGGGAAATATTGAACACAGCTGCAAAAAACAGCTGAATGATAAATGAAAGGAGAAAAAAGAAAAAAAGGCGCAGGTCTGCGTAAACATTTCTAATACAATTCTCTAGAGTCTGAATTTCCCTGTTTGACAGAATACCATTTACATCCACACACTCAGACACACACACGCACGCAGAGGGTGCTCTTTGCAACACACCGATACAATCACTACATGGACTACTAAAAAAAGACATTTGTTAAAACATTTCACGTGGTAGAAAGTAGCAAGAATACAAAAACAGTTCTCACATATTGTTTTTAAGAAAGACATTTCCAACTCGTCGGACTATGTACACACACACACACATACACACACACACACACACGGAGTGTAATGTTCTAAATTGGACATATTCAGTACAAATAAGTCTGACAGCTCTGACATTTGCAGGAATTATATTAGTGTGAAATATATATATATTATATATACCTTTTTTTTTTTCTTCTTCACATTAGTCTATACTGAAGGGTGAGATTGGCAGGGTAATTATTGATGGTTGACTTCAGCTGGCTGGTTTGTCGACACTTTTGGGATCGCGTGCTGCTTCATACTGGTGTTTTGGTTCAAACGAGAGCACACACACATACACTCACAGACATTTTATCATTAAAATTACTTCACTAAAGGACAATAGCCCCCCCCCCCCCCCCCCCCCCCCCCCCCC